AACTTACTTTCCTGATCATCTCAGATCCTTTCAAAATTTACACGGTAAAATTTAGAAATTCCATAGCAATTACCGTTACATTTTCGACCCCATCGGAATGTACCGTCTCTCTAATTATACACTTTTATATACATGGCTACCTTGACCTATAATTAGCTGCTATAGTGCACTATTTCGCCCCGCCTTTCCATTAAATTCCATTGCCTATTGTCTATTATAAACATCTTGAGTTGTAAGCGACATCTACAACAGCGCTTGAGGACACGCCCCTCCGTTTAGACCCTAAGGGCCTCTTTTTACCCGAGCCATTTACATTTTCGCATTATCTCGAGTTTTTGCAACACTCTTGAACGGCCGCATTTTTTCTGACTACTATTACCGTCCCCAGTTACCGTATTCTGCAAAGGTTGGGCAGGATGACACTTTCGGACGAGGAGAAAGAGATGATGAATGAAAATGATCCGCGTACCATGGTCACTGTGGCTAGCGCCTTTTTTATACGAACGGATGGGGATGAGGACGAAAATAGCAATATCAAGGTATGGTTATTAGATAGTGGTGGTGGAAGGGCTCAGAATTTGACTTGTGAGTAAAATATGGACGAATTCAGAAGATCTGGTACAAATCTTTGTGTTCAAAAAATATGTTCTTGAGTCGCTTATTATTTGTCGAGATTTTTAACTTAGCTTTTTGGGGTTTGATTAAATTTTTGTACGATCTCTCTAGAACAGAGACCGAGAAAAAATGTTTTTTGAATTTTGTTGACTTTTGTGCCAAAAAAAGACCTTTTGAAAAACCCCGTATTACATACGTCTATACAGCCAAATCCTGAATACAGAAGTCCACAAGAAGTTGATCAAGAGATCTCAGTGGCATCCACCAGCTAAAAACTACGTAGACCTCTTAAAAATCTTTGTCATGTTTTCTTCATTTCCATCGTTGCTAGTCGCGCACTTAGTATGCGAAATTTGAAGACTTTTCCAGCCGAAAACTAATTTTTTTCTTCCTTTCACGTTTTGATTACATATTGTTTTGCACTATTTCACGGGATCAAAAATTGTCGGAAGTCTAGAAAGTCCAAACTTTATCAACATCAGCTCCCGCTACCATCCAAACTGCACTCTTCTCTCTCGTTACTTCTCTGTAAATCAGCCCGAAGTGATCTCTTCTCGAGAATCCGTGTATTTTGAAACTCACTCCTCCTTTCACGTGACCCGCAACTCTAAAACATTCTTTTGTTTTTATGACTTTGATGATTAACCCACCAAATTGTACAAATATAGCGCACCATATGATTCGGAACACTTTTTGCAAGGATCCTGGGCGTAATGAAGGTCACGATGAGATTAGCAACAATTTACACAGTGTTCGGCTCACTTTGCACTCCACTTTATGTATCAGGTGGTGGGGAAAATGGTAGAAACAATGTAAAAACCATGCAGTAAGAATTCTAGACCCAGGGACGGGTGATTAATGGGGTAGGGGGTTTATAACTGTAGGTATAGTAATATAGTTTATGTCAAATGAAAAATGGTCAACATTTCTTGGCTTAACGAAGTCATCCATAGAAATTATAATGGCCCCGGAATATTAATAATAATAATTTGTTGTGAGTATCGAGTTCAGCGCTGACAAAAGCATCTACATATGTTTACAGAAGAAAAGAAGATCCGGAATGGCCAACAAATTCTTTTTTTCTCTAGCCGTCTCTATCCATTTTCGTAATCTTTTGGTCTACAGGGACTACTGGATGTAATGGTTGACCTTGCAAAGAGCGAGCTACAGACCGTTGTTCATGACTAAAACCTTTAGAAAATAATTTATACATTGGACTTTAAGAACGAATTTATTGTCTCTTTGTAACACCAAGAACGTTTCACCATCTCGTTATAGTTTATTTCTAATCGCCATTTACTTTATCTCCCTGGTTTTATTTCTTTTCTCTTCCGTTAAGGTGGTTTTTCCCCCCGAACACTAAAAACTGAAAGCGTTGATAAAACATCAAGATTAAAGGGACAGTAAGATAATGGCAACGGAGAGGGTCCTTGATTGATGAATCAAGGCGGGTTTTACTCGCTGACACCTTGCATTCGGAGTGTAAAGAGTTGTGCAATGGGGAGAAAGAAACAAGAGTTTATGGTTACTTTTTGGTTCGGGGAATTTTGCTAAAAGTCTTGTTACGTGATGTTTTCGAATCGAACTTGAGTATGAGAGTAGAAATAAGGTCATATAGGCTGTGATGGCCTATATTTTACTTTGTCCTTTTGCCAGTATCTTCTCCGAATGACCACATCTCTTCTGATCTCACCTCCGGCCTTCCAAAAAACCGCTGCGTGCATAAAATGTGGGTAATGAGGCCAGAAAACCGTCGAAGCGCGACACTTTTTGTCCGCCGATTTCTTCGGATGTTCCGTTTATGGACAATGGACAATTTGCGGGGCGAACGGGGTTAGCCGGTCACAAAAAGGAAGGCCACGCACGGGGTGACACTTTTTATAAGGGCAGCCGTTTTTTCGTTTAGTTTTTTGGGTTCTGGCGACTCCTTGCGAAAGGAGATCGGAAATCCAAAAGTGCAAAGGTTAAGGAATCAAAAGGGTTGAAGTGAATGGACAATGGATGTCATTGAAGGACTGATTTGATAGGGAAATTGGGATGAATCTTGAAGTTGTTTGGGGAGCGCTAAGAACTGCTTTTGACAAAGCTCAACGCTGATTTAGAAGGTCCCTAGAAACGTGCAAAGCAGGCGTTTTTCTCCAGGCATCGTGATTATACATAGTTGGATAACACATGTTTTTTGAGGGCTCAGAAAGGACTTGACAAAAGCAATTTTTCTCTGATAGTCTCCGCTCATTTTCCATAGTTTTTTGTCTACAAAAATCTTTGAATAAAAAAAAATTTCCCAGCTTCCTTTGTAAGGCATAAACTAAATTTTTGAAGGTCCCATGTATGGGATAGAAGATTCAGACTGACAAAAATGCCATAATGACCCCCTCGGCAAGAAACTACAGTAATTTCATCAACTTTTCTTCAAGCTATATCCTTTTGCTTCGCTCAATTTTCCAATTTTCCTCTGAATTGCCTCAAAATCTTCGGCCATTGGTCATTCCGTTTTTCTACTCTCTACCGGTCATTGTGCTCTTCCATTTCCATCCTCTTCCATCTTCTCCATGTCATTTCAAAAAAAACCGCTGCCCCCAAAAAGTGGACAATGGTTTTTTGGGCGCACTTTTTTCGTTGTTCGCAGATCTGCATATTTTATCCGATTTCGAATTCGAATTTGAAACACGCGTCAGGGCAGTCGTTTTTTTAATGTGACCACAAAAAAGGAGAGCGGGGTCGCGCACTTTTTTGGAGCGGCGGAATGTCCAGCGGTTTTTTGAATCCGCAAGGAGAAATATGGGAAATGGTGAGATTTGCGGCGATTTTTGAGGGACAACTAGGATTTCTGTGGGCTGTAAAAAGTCTCTAATTAGAGTTAGAACGATTGTACTTACTGTAACGCTCAATTTTTTTTGATTTCTCCCCAAATTTTTAGTCATCATTTTTGCCTACCGTATTCATTGGTAAAATAATAGTTGAAAACATACTTCTATTTAAATTTAAAATAGACCCACAAGTCGTAAATGAACCTTTCATGCCAATAATATCACAATTTACAATTACTTTCACCCCGTTACAGCCCCATTAATTTAGAGCCCCAGTCAAACTGAAAATTCCCATAAGAATTTTGAAAAATCGCTCCTACCGATTACCTAAAATCAATCTTAATTCCATTTCAACTCCTTGAACAAAGCTCCGCCCTCTTTTTTATACGGTAAAGGTAGCTTTTTTCGTATTTTCCTCTCAGTTTTTTCGACGAAACCAACTTTTTGCGGCGTTCAAAAAATTTGAATTCCTAAAAAAAACATTTTGTTTATCGTATTTTACAACTACATATAGCTACAACCGTCCAATTAGCAACTGAATAACGGGAATTATTTTGTATTTTCGATGGCGGCGTACGGTATCTACCGGGCGACGGTAAGTGAGAAGGCGAAGGAATTGCGAATTTAATCATTTTATTGTGGTGATCATGTGGATTGTATCATTTTGGAATTTTATGTAACTGATAAGGAGGCGGAATGGTCTTACGGAGCTTTGAATTGAGATCATACCGTAATAGCGGATATGAAAAAATATATCGGCAAGAGATTACCATAGGTCATTGACAAAAATCTGAAATTTAAGATGTCTTTTTGTGATTTTTAGGAGGCTTTGCGTAAAATTAAGGATGAAGATACCTTAATAAGGCTCTACAAACCATGGTTAGGCATAAAATTAATCTTTCATTGCCATAATCTGCAGTTTTCATGCATTTTATCAATTTTTTGGGACTTTGGTGCAGAATTGACTTTGAAAATCTATTTCTTTTGAGTTTTGATGCCGATTTGGAGCAAAAGAAGTAATTTAGGCACCCGATACTGTACTAACAAACAACCGTATATCTTTGGGATGGCGTATTTTACCCCTTGCCCTCTCCTAATCTCTATTCTCCAACATTTTCAAAATCGCAACCCTTTTCTCATAAATAATGTCCGAACGTTTTCCCCCTCCCCTCCAATCAGCAGGACCTTTTACAATGCCCGCAGGGGAAGTGTCTGATTAGAGAGAGAGAGAGAGAAAGATCAGATAGAAGACCTTGTTCATAACCAATCGCCCGTTTTTTTCTTCAGGGCTTTCGTTGAGAGGGGTTTTTTGGAAGAGAGTGTGTACTTTCAAAGAGGGTTTCGGGGTTTTATCGGGAGAAATTTCGAAATTTCTACTGTAAATGTTGGGGAGTTTGGGCCGTTTTTGTCATCAGAGAAAATGGCAAAAGTTTTTTTTGAAATTGACTGCAATTTTTTACCTTTTTCTCTTCTAACCAACAATTATTTCCGTATTTTATCATCAGTATTTATTCTCGCATCAATTGAAACCAGTAAAGTCGAGTCAGTATCAATTCTTGTCTCTTTCTTGACTTCCTACAAAGTAATCAAGGATTCGGACGGCGGATCAGGCTCGGCTCTTTGTCTCTCTTTGATCAGCAGCCATGTATAATGGCGATGACGAAATTCCAAATCTCTTCTTTGTTGAGTCCGACACCACCAAACAAAAACACTGCCAATGACGAACAGAAGGGACAGGCATAGTCTGGAAGCAAATAGTCATCAAAACATATCACTGCAGGCGATTTCTTGGCAATTTTTTTAATTTTCACTTTTGAATTTTTTTATTCTAAAAATATTTCGTAAGACCTACAGTGCGGTTAATGACCATCCAATAACACCCATTCCATGATATTCGAAATCTTCTGTTGACTGGTCACTCCTTGAGGCATGTAAAATTGAATTGTTTGTAAATCCTGATGTCGTATTAGCTGTAGCCGAATAGAAAGTTGAGAAAATCAAAACAATTTTTACGATGCGAGCCTGCAACATCACCGATTTTTTGCTAGAAAAAGGTTAAAATTTAAAAATATATATTTTTCTCTTTAATTTTTATTACTTAAATTCCCAGAGCGTATTTTACCATTCAAATTAACCCGTATTTGCAGGGATTCGAGCCGAAGTCGGACCTCTCTCAGATGAGCAACATGCGTGGGGACAATAAGCCGTACAAGTGTCCCCATTGTGTCAAGGCCTTCGCCAACAACTCCTATCTGGCGCAGCACATGCGGATCCATTTGGGGATCAAGCCATTCGGCCCCTGTCAATTTTGTAATAAGAAATTCACCCAACTCTCCCATCTACAGCAACACATTCGAACGCACACGGGCGAGAAGCCGTACAAGGTAAGAAAAAGTTCAAAAAAGAGAGATGGTCAAACTATGGGCGGTAGATTTGCTCCGAATTTTTTTTCAATCTTCAATTTGTCATCTGTAGAATTTGCAACATTCTATGAAACTTAAAAATCAAATCCAATTTTTGGATTTTCCAAAATATTTATAACTTCAAGTGTATGTTCTACAACTCATTTCCCAATTTTCAGTGTAAAATCGCGGGCTGTGACAAGTCGTTCAGCCAGTTGTCGAATCTCCAATCCCACTCCCGATGCCATCAATCCGACAAGCCATTCAAATGCAATTCGTAAGCCAGTTTGTCTTAAAAAAAGTTTCTAAAATCCGCAGTCTTCGATAAGGCGAATGTTTTCAGTTGTTACAAGTGTTTTAACGACGAGACAGCTTTACTGGAGCACATTCCCAAGCACAAAGAGTCCAAACATTTGAAGGTGCACATCTGCTCCTTCTGCGGCAAGTCCTACACGCAGGCGTTGTATCTGGAGAAGCACATGGCCAAGCACGCGGATCGTCCTCGATTCACGTAGGTCTAACTATTCGCCTGCGCAAATTATAAGCAAAGATTTAAATTTTAATAGCAAAGATTTTAATTTTTCCTTTATTTTTTAACACGTATTTTAGCAAGTACAGTAACTACAGCGACTTCTCCGCTGAAAGTATCGAAGGTCTCAACCAGCTGAACAACTTTAATCAACTCAATAATCTCGGACAAAACTCGTTGAGTAAGTTTTTGGGGAATGAGTGGGCGCAGCTTGCCTAATTAAAAATTGCTCAAACTAGCCTTGATTAGGGTTCTAGAGTCATCCAATCTCTCTCAAACATACTAACAAGACTCCCTTTCCAGTCTCCGGTTCGTTCCAACAAATCGCGGCGTCGGCCGCGGCTGTGGCCACCTCTTCAAGTTCGGCCCAACCCAACAACGGCCAAGCTCTCACTGCCAACTTGGTCCAAGCCAACGGTACCAATGGTACCTCCAACGCCAACAACAACCAGAACAATCCCACGTCCGCCGCGACGGTGACGGTAGCCGCCTCGTACGGCTACTCGAACATCACGAACCAGGCCGCGAATCAGATGATCGGGAACTCGATGAACCCGCTCGAGTTCTTCCACCGCTCCTTCCAACAGCGGGAGAATGTTCAGGTGCGCGTTAACGGACAGGACAGACCCGCCGGGTAAGCAGCGGCTGATTTTGTTGAGATTTGAAAGATTAGAGGGGCATTTGTATTATCCTTGGAAATTCTCAAGAATAGATGCTCGGATTTTCTGGGGTAGCCGAGAAATTCAAGTTTTTTCTGACTGAACGCTGTGGAAAATAAGGAAAAACTGAAAAAAAAATCATTTTTGGTCAGATTTTTCAAAATTTTCATCGAAATAAATTATTTTTTTGCAAAGTCTCCTAATTAAGAGCATACTTTGTTTAGGCATTTTTTAGCCATTTTCGACCTAAAACTCTCAGTCATTTCTGCAGAGTGCAAGATATAAAAATGAAAAATTTTTGTCCAAGTTTATTCCTAGTTATATAAATTCACATTTCAAATTTTTCAGATTCAACATGATCACTCCGCTGGAGAACATTAAGACGTTCAACCAAAACAACGCCGCCACCGCCGGCTTTAACAATTGCGCTTAAAGCGCCCCATTTTTTCTTCAATTTATGCATCCCGTTTAACACAAGATATCGAGCGTATTTTACAAAAAAATGCCAAAGCATTTGTCTGTTGCCACGACTTATCTCTGTTCCCCACCAATCTATCTTAAGATATTCGACGAAACCGTCCACATTCTTCACCCCCTTCTTATCAACCGGTCCTTGCAACGTTATGCCAAGATTTCCAATCTTTTCCGAAAAATCTCAAAACTTTCTTTTCGAATCTTTGAGAACTTGGTCTGTGATCGATTTGACATCGATGAAAGCGTTCAACGAATATTTGGAAAAGCAAAAAACACCAGTTTTACAGTATCTTCCCAGAACCCGCCAGTATAAGCCCGCTAGATTTCATTTTTAGTCTCCTATCTCCTAAAATACAGCGAAAATCCATTCTTTTTTCGATTGATGAAAACATTTTGGCCTTGATTGTTGTTGAGTGCGGGAACTGTAATTTTAAACCGCATCAAAATTTTTTAATATCAATTTTTTTGCCTAAAGTTCCAAAAAAATGAAGACTCGAAATGTTCGATTTTTTAAAAATTACAGTACCCCTACTGCTTCCCGTGTATTACCATGAATTCTCTCTCATAGCGCTCTCTTTCCTTTACCATTGTTTTCCTTCGAACTCATCGGACCGGTGCTTTGTTGCCCTTTTTTATTTTCAATTTCCCCGTTGTGTCCTACTATTTGTGTACCCTTAATCTTAATGTAGTTTTCAGAATGTAATAAATATTCTTCGATAACCTGAAACCAGCGTCTTTTGCTAGACAATTGTTAAATTTTAAAAATTTATCACAAGAAATTTGCTCAGCAGGGCCTAAAAATCTCATGTGTAATCTAAAATATGATTGCTTTAATTTGGCCATAGCTTTGTCAACTCTGTGAAATTGAACGTAAAAATCAAAATTCTGTCAATGCAAAAATCCAAAATTTATTCGAAATTCTTTGGCTTTGTTTTTGCAGAAGTGGACGGCATGGCGTCCATCTTTGCACTTTCCTTTTTCTTGCGGTGTTTCGGCAAAGACATGGAGACGAACTCATCTGAAAAAAAAATGATAAAAAAATCCGTTTATTTCCCCCAAATCATAACTCTGTAAACCCACAAAACTCACCCGCTTTCCCATCATTTTTACTCATCATTTTGGTGCTCATTCTGGCGCTCTCCTTCGTTGGGGCTTCCATTTCTTGATATTCTTTGCTGAGTTGCTCCTTTCTCGGGGTTATGTAATCATTAGAAGTTGGCAAGGCCGTCGGCACTGAATCATGTTTAGATGAATTGGAAGCCTTCTTATTTTTCTTGAGCGGCTTCAATGTCGTAGATCGGCTCTTACTGCCAGCCTGAAATTAAAAGTTTAGATGGCAAAAAATTTTTTGGTACTTTTAAATAAATTTTTATGCAAAAATTTTTTTGCCGCCAAGAGAGCACGCAAAACGTGGAGAGGGGTCAAAGAGAAAAACGCTTTTTCGCCATAACTTTGGCAGTTTCGTGCGGAAAAATTTGATTTTTTGTGGAAACATTATCTTTTACGATAGAAATAGGCATGAAACTTTTCGTGCCGAAATTCGGTAAAAAGTCCTAAATTTTCGCCGACTTTCGATCTAAAAATTTCGGTTGTTTCTGCAAAGAGCGAGCTAGGATTCTCGCATATATCTTAGAAAAAATTAATCTAAATTTGTACCAAGTTTCATCAAAATCTGAGCGTCGCACTTGGAGTACTTCCCCTGTTAAATATAAATATCTCTACCGTAAGCCCGAGCCAAGATTTTCAAAAATAGTTTTTGGGACAACCCTTGATCTATCTGCAAAATTATATCGAAATCCAACTTCCAGAACTGTATTAACCGGCCGACTTACCTTCTTTTTCTTGGCCATGCTCTTTTTCGAAGCGTCCTTGACATTTTTCGAATTTACCGGCTTATTTGGGGGCAACTCTTGATTTATCATCTTTTTGGGAGTGTTTTGAGTATTCGACGACTTCGTGTTATTTCTACCGCTCCTGCTGACCTTACTTTCCTTCTCTTTCTTGCGGCTGGTATTGCTAGAACTATTCTGTCCAGTCGATTTGTTATAACTCTCCGTCTGATTTGTGGAGTTCATTTCCGTCTGATTTGTTGAGTTCTCTTCCACAAAAGTTGTCTTGGTTGGTGCTGTTCTCAGCCGCTCCGATTTCTTGTCCTGAAGATTCCATTTGATCAAACAGTCGTAAAAAAACGACATATTTTGAACAGAGTTTTAAAAAAGATTACTTTTCTAATCTTGCCAAGGAAAAGACCAGCAGCCAGGATTAAGATAAGCAGCAGTATTCCAGCAGTGGAAGCGAGGACGATGATAATTATGTTATTCTTTTCTCTAAAATATCAGATTCAAGGTGCCGCAAAAAACTTGTTTCATACGTTTTCAAATCCTCCGAGAAGACAAATCGAACATACGTGTCCTTGACCAGCACACCGTCGTGCAAATTGCAAGGAGATACCCTCTTGATGTAGGCCTGAAAAATAAATGTGAGCCAAAAAAAGATTGAACGTTGATTTAAAGCTCCACTTCCTTTTGATTTATGTTAACCTTACCATTGAAATCCAAGCTGATTTTCCATTCGATTCCACGGTAATCGGCCTGCTCTTGCATTGCTCATAAACCCATTCTTCATCAAATTTGAGCTCTCGGCAATCATGATTTTTATGTTTAAAGATCAGCGTACTGTGCTCATTATCAACTGCCAATGGTTGCTGGATCCCAAGCTGTCTTCCTTTGTTGATTGGTGCATGATTATAGGAATATAAATAAGCAGATGCGTTGGAGTCTTCTGGAATGAAGAGAAAGTCTTGGCCGAGCATTTGATAGACTCCATTTTGTTTGCAGAATAAATCGTCTTGGGAAGAATTGTAATCGACGCCGTAGAATCGGCAGACACTGGAAGGTGGAAATTGATGACTAATCAATAGCTCGTAGCTTACATTTCAGCTTCATTTATCCTTTTGCTAACGAAGCCACCACGAAAATTTAAATCTTCGTGGTAAAAAATCACCACATCAAGGACATCTTCTGAAGCCGAAAAATCCATATAAAAATCGGCGCTAGAATTACAAGTATAATGGACGTTTTAAAGGTCATTTTATTGCAACTCGACCATTTTTTAAGGTTTAAAAACCAGCTTACACAACTTCAGCTCTATCCGGATATGTATAACTAATCACTTTGACCACTTTTTCTTCAGGAATAAACTGAAATGTCTTAAATTCGATAACGCTCGGTGTCGTGTCTTCAAATAGATCGGGTAGACCACGACATGCCAGGAAACTTGTAGCAAGGGCATTGAAGAAATCCAACAAAACTCTCATGAATAAAAAGACGACGACCGTCGAGGTACGAAAGGATTGAAAATGAAATTTAAAAAATTTTATGTTGACAATTTTCAAAGCTTCAATTTTGAATTTTTCAGTTTTCAAATTGATATTTCCAAAATTTAAAGGTCCTAAAATTTACTATTATACTTAATTATGATGACTTTAAGCTACAGAAAACTTTAGATCAAAGAAATATCGTGTTATTTAACCAATCTTTGCATCACTGCAAACAATATAAAATGAGCAGAAGCCCAAATTATGTTACACAACATTTCCCCATGCTCTCGGAATTTATAATTTCTCCGTTTCTCATAGTTTTTTGTGTGGCGGATATCAAAAGCGATCATGAAGTAAAATCTTTGCCCGGACTTGATTGGGAACTGAATTTCAAGCATTATGCTGGCCGACTTAACGTCTCGGATACCAGGAGGCTGTCATACTGGTAGGTACTTTGGGATAGAAGGTAAAATCTATCAGTTGTTCAATGTACTACCACTTGTTATTTTGATGTTTTTAGGCTTGTCGAGTCGCAGAACGATAAGAACAAGGATCCATTGGTTTTGTGGTAAGTTAATCGTTATAGAAGTCAAAGGTTTGCTGAAATCTTGGGCTAATTATGCTTTTCCAAGGCATAGATTTTTTGATTTTTTGCCGAGATTAGAACGCAATTTTTGTCAAGAAAATCGAAGCGAATTTAGCAAAGTTAAAACGTTTTTTTAACCAATCTTCGCGTTTGCCGACTCTCTCATAGATAACGTCTTGAACGAATCGTATCACTACAAACACCTCTTTGTGAAACTCGCTGTTCGATCTCCCAAGACGAGTTTTCAGGCTGAACGGTGGGCCCGGTTGTTCGTCCCTTTTCGGCCTCCTCGAAGAGCATGGACCATTTGTGTTGGTGGAGGGACATGACGTTGACTTGAAGTTACACAAAAACCCCAATGCCTGGAATAAAGTGAGAGCTGCTCCATTTGTATTCGCAGAGTTATGAAATGATACAATAACAAGCGCTGTAATCCTCGCATTTGTAGCTGTATTTTGGATTTGTGTACTGAGCTCACTCCGAAACTTGTTTTGATTCGTTTATTTTTTGTTGTTTTCAGTTTGCAAATGTTTTGTATCTGGAGGCGCCAGCTGGCGTTGGGTTCTCGCAGAATGACGAAACAAACTTCCCTTCGTATGATGACACTACCGTAAGACTTGATTTTGAATACAAGAGTATGAAAAAGGCGGACACCTCAAAAAAGACGCCTTTAAAAAACAGCTTCATCTCCTCAGCTTTTAGACCGCCATCGACAATGCCAACTTCCTCAGCGCCTTCGTCAAAGCCTATCCCGAATACAAAGGTCGAGATTTCTATATTACAGGCGAAAGTTACGGTGGATGCTATGTCCCAACCTTGGCCAATCAAGTCCTCAGAGTCCAGGATGAAGTGAACTTGAATTTGAAGGTATTTTTTATAACTTTCTGCCTCATAGGACCTTCAGGGAGTTGCGATTGGCAATGGAATAACAACAAAAGCTGATGTGGATAGCTTTTACACTGTTGCCTTGGCTTTCCACGGCGCAAAGTACACTCTGCAAGACCTCGGGCTATGGATGAGGGAGTATTGCCCTTCGGGGTTCGACAATTTTTGCATTGGAGGGAAAACGGATGTAGATCCGGAATTTCAGAAAAGATTTGCAAATATGTACCACAATATGATGAAAGGTTCGAAAAACGACGAAATCTATAACTATGACATCAACCGAAAGGATCCTGGGAGTGCTACGCTTGCGGAATACTTAAATCAGATTGAAGTTCAAAAAGCACTGCATTTTGTTGAAGAAGGAGAGCAAAAAGTGGATTGGGTAGAGTGTGGGTAAGAAAATAAAGTACAGTGGGCACGAAAAGTCTTCAAAACTTATTATAAATCTCTTTTGAAGATCTGAGCCTTAGATTTAAAAATATATTCCCTTCGCTTTAGCAATGTTGGCTACCAATGGTGCACTGACATGGCTGGTGATGTGACAAATCTGCTCAACAAAAACATTAAAGTTTTGTATTTCTACGGAGAAACTGGTACATAAGACAATTCATTAAGCCCTCAATTTATTTGTTTTTTAGACTTAGCATGCCCTGCAGCCATTGGCGATATCTTTGTTCACAGAATCGGGAAGAATCCAAAGACTTCAACATGGTTCGTTGATGACCTTTATGCCGGGACAAGAACGAGTTTTGATAAGAATTTGACATACACGACAATTGCGGATTGTGGCCATATGGCTGCTGCATGGAAGCCGAAACAAACGGCCAGAGCTGTCCATCATTTCATCAACGATATTAGTGATTGGAATAGTTAATGAGAATTAAATACTTTGCAGCTTTTATCATGTGCGTTGATTGGTTACCAATATGAAATAAAAATTTTTATTGAGCTATATGTCGGTGCTTGAAGATGGTTTGCTTTAGGCAAGGTTCTACAAGTCATCTCCCGACTAAAAAAGAGGAAAACAAGAAAATTCGGGTTCTGTACCCAGGTTGAGGTAGAAAACATTAAATTTGCGGAATTCCTTCGTCTTTTGCATACTCTTTCGTCGACGCAGGCCATTGAATCATTCAGTCTAAACTAAAAAATTTGCCATGTTAATTCGCTGACCTTTCTGAGCAGTTATTCCATAAAAAGCTTTTTTCCTATAATTTTAAAGCCATTCTAATGAAGTTATTGACATTAAATATTTTCAAAAAAGATGGAAATGGTTTGGTAATAAATAATAAGATCAAAAAAACTTAAATTCCAATGGTTCACTGGTATTTGTATAGAGCTGAATTCAACGCTATAAATGAACAAAAAAGACATCTTTTTATATTTTTGCGTGCGTTGCTGCCATGTACATCATATTGTTGCTTGCTTCAGCATTCATCGCCCTTTGTTCTGCTGATATCAAAACCGACCACGAAGTGAAATCTCTGCCTGGACTTGATTGGCAGCCGGAGTTTAAACATTACGCTGGCCTGCTTAATGTTTCAACGACTAGAAGTCTTTCATATTGGTAGGCAACTTAAAGCTTTTAATTATTATACTTCATATATCGTAAAAGACCTATTGATTTAGGTTTGTGGAATCGCAAGGAGACAAGGACCATGACCCATTGGTGTTGTGGTAAGCCCAATATTTTGTGACCAGTATTTGTGAAGTTAAAGTAATTCGTATTTACTACAGTATAATTTCAGGCTGAACGGAGGTCCTGGTTGCTCTTCACTCTTTGGATTTCTTCAAGAACATGGACCATTTTTGCTGGCTGAAGGGGATGACATAGAGCTAAAATTACTCAAGAATCCGCACTCATGGAATAAGGTACGAACACTTCATCAATCGCTTGGAAGAAAAGCTGCTGCTCAATAGTTATATTGACGTATAATATTTTCAGTTTGCCAATGTCATATATCTTGAAGCGCCCGCTGGAGTTGGGTTCTCACAGAATGACTTGTTTAGCAGCACCGTCTACAATGACAATAATGTAAGGATAACTGTTTGTACTGCACTAACCGTCCACGTTTAACATATTTCATTGTCTTATTTCAGACTGCGGTTGACAATGTCATCTTCCTGATCGCTTTCCTCGAAGCGTATCCCGAATACAAGGGTCGTGATTTTTACATTACTGGTGAGAGTTATGGTGGGTGTTATGTTCCGACCTTGGCAAACAAACTGCTGGAACAGAAGGCACACGTGGAATTAAAGCTGAAGGTAATAGTATAACAGCTAAATCCGCATATTATTAGGTCTAGAAGTATGACTCCGCCGTTTTTTTGTTTTGCATTTTTTTACAGGTTGCTGTAAGGTTTAAGAATTTCTTTTGAGATCTTCTGAAAGAGCTTTCAAAACGCTATCTACTGATATATGTTTTGTATAGTAGGGCTTGACACAGCGCTTTTTCTGAAGCTTCAAAGATGACCAACTTCGTCTCTGGAAAATCGTCATTTGCGGGAAATTTTACCCCTCACGTGTAACGCGAGGGAAAACGTTGTTAAGGCATCGATTGCTTAGAGAAGCTTACGTTCCACCGATAGCACACGAGCTGAGGCCGCAGCGCTTCGCTAAACACAATGATGTCAAAAATTAGGTTGATATTTGGATGGCTTCAAAACAGCCGAAAAAATTTTTTTGGTGGATTGAAAAGTTGACCAAATTACGGAAACACCTCGTAATTAATAGTAGAATGTAAAATTGGATGAGGTTTAGGGTAAAAATTTTTTGCTATGATCAAAACAATCAGCAGAAAAAAACGGCGGAGTCATACTTCTAAACCTAATATATTGATTTTCGCAGGGTATTTCCATCGGCAACGGAGTCACGAAAAACAGCTACTTCAAATTCAGTGAAGTTGCTTTAGGCTTTCACGGAGCCAAGATTAGTCTGTATAGTCTGGGAAAACTGTTGAGAGAGATCTGCCCTTCCGGATTCGACAAGTTTTGCGAAGGCAGCGAGGTCGTCAGCGACCCCAAAATTCATTTAAAATTTACTCAATCCTACAGGAATATGATGATGAGCAATTCGGTGAAACGCGACATCAATATTTATGATATTAATCGACGTTGTTACAGCGATGTAGGATGCTCTGGAAATGGGATTTCTCAGTATTTGAATCAGGTCGAAGTCCAAAGAGCTCTGCATTTTGTAGCAGAGAAAGGCCAGAAGGTGGAGTGGGACGCGTGCAACTAGTAAGTCTCTTGTAGTCCAACGTGCTTCCCACCGTTTATAATAGAGGTTTTGTCCACACACTATCAAAGAGTTAGATATTGTATTCCATGTACAGAAAAAAATAGTCAAAACATATTCAAAAAGCTCTTATGTTTCTTGCTGGAGGTGGGCTATTTTGTCTTTGAGTGGCTTGCCAACCTTGTTTCTGCAGTATCCTCCAGACAAAAAAGCAGTCACATCTGTAGCTCTTTTAGTTCTTCAGAAATGAAGTGTTCCAACAATAATAAAAATTAATCCAACTAACTCACAAACTAACATTCACACATAAACCTTTAGCACCATCAATAGACGGTACATTGCTTGTGAAGACATGACAGATGACGTCAAGAACTTGCTCAAGAAGAATGTCAAAATCTTGTATTTCTACGGAGAAACTGGTAGGATGGTTTGCAAACCCCAAACTTCAATTGAACAAAAGTCATACCAATAATAAATAATTTAGATACTGTGTGTCCCTTCATAATGGGCGACCTATTCGTTCACCAAATCGGCTCAAATCCGGAGACCATTCAATGGTTTGTCGATGATCTTTACGCTGGAACAAAGACTACTTTTGACGGAGGTTTGATTTACACCACCATTGCGGATTGTGGCCATATGGCTGCCGCATGGAAGCCAAAACAAACCGCCAGAGCTGTTCATCATTTCATCAACGGTATAGAGGATTGGGACAGTTAATAAAGGGCTCATAGTTGGCCACAATTAGTCCGCAAAGAGCTTGTGCATACGTGTTAAAGCTTTGAGTAAAAAAGTCAAAAAAATTGTCATATGGTAGCTTGAAGAGCCAAAGTTAGCCGTTGTCGATTTCCCAAAAGAAATTTTTCCGAACTCTGCTTTTCTGTGGTGGAACCGTACGATATTTCGTCTCTAAACTACTAACAATCTCTAACAATAAATGCCGATTACAATCATTACGTACAATATCATATTAATTTACGTTTGGATCAAAGAAAGAGCATGATGGAATTTGTCCTCAGATTATATGTCATTGTTTCCTCAAGGTTTATATAACACGCAAATTAACAAACAAAAAATAAATGAAGAATGGTCTGGAAAATTGTGATTTTGTTGGTTTGTAGCGTAAGCTTTTGTCTGGCAGGCATAAAAAGCGATCATGAAGTAAAGTCGTTGCCCGGACTGGATTGGCAACCGTCTTTCAAGCATTATTCTGGCCGGCTGAATGTGTCCAAGACGCGGAGTCTGTCTTATTGGTAAGCCCATGCCTATTATATTTTTTTACTTGACAACAAGACCTTGTCGCTTGGCGGTGGCAGTAATTGACGATTATCTAAGGTTCGTTGAATCCAAAAACAACAAAGAAAAGGACCATTGAACCAATAATTGCCTCTGAGGCCGTTGCAAAGCGATCTAATCATAATCGTTTTATTTTCAGTTTGCAAATGTCATATACTTGGAAACTCCGGCTGGAGTTGGATTCTCACAGAATGGCGACGTCGAAAAGATTCATAACGATAGCACAGTAAGTATCTCCTATAAAAAAATTATATTTTCGTTTAATACAGACAGCCATTGACAACGCTAACTTCCTGATTGCGTTTCTGGAAGAATACCCTGAATACAAAAGCCGGGATTTTTACATCTCCGGAGAAAGTTACGCCGGCTGTTACATCCCAACTTTGGCTAACCAAATCTTGAGTATCAAGGATCAATTACAAGTGAATTTGAAGGTACGAAAGCTGGCAAAAATCGCGGCTTCACATGCTAATATTCTCCTTATCATTTAGGGCTTAGCCATAGGCAATGGAGTCACAAGAATGTTCGGTATTCGAGGCATGGCCTCCGTCAATTTGGCTTTTCACGGCGCTGAACACACAGTATACCAATTGGGGCAATGGATGAGAAAGTTTTGTCCCACCGGATTCGACAACTTTTGTGAAGGCGAAAGTGTGGCGAGAGATACAATGGATGCAAAAGAATTCGCCCAGTTGTATAAAAAGACGATGCAGCAACCACCGATTAAGCGGATCAATGACTATGACATCAACCGGCCTTGTTACAGCAGTGAGGGATGCTCTGGAAATGGGCTTCCTCAGTATTTGAATCAGCTAGAGGTGCAGAGGGCTTTGCATTTTGCCCCGGAAGGTGGAAGTGCTGTTAAATGGAAGCTTTGCATGTAAGAAAATTAACGCAATCTCTGATTTACGATTAATTTTAGTGATTTACATTATAAAGCGTGCACGGATATGACTGACAACGCCAAAAATGTGCTGGCCAACAATGTAAAAGTGTTGTATTTCTATGGAGAGACCGGTAAGAATTTCTATCATTTTTTGTTCTACTCGATCCATAAGTACAAAGCTTTTACCCGGCGCATTTAGACACCGTTTGCCCCTTCATAATTGGCGATCTGTTTGCTCACAAAATTGGAAAGAATCCGAAGACTTCAACATGGTTTGTCGATGATCTTTATGCTGGAACAAAGACTACTTTTGATGGAAACCTGACCTACACAACCATTGCTGATTGTGGCCATATGGCTGCGATGTGGAAGCCGAAACAAACAGCCACAGCAGTGCATCATTTCATTAACGATATTGGTGACTGGAATAACTAGTGAAATAAATATAATTTTTAACTGTATGTGTTTGTAATCGTTGCTCTGAGGTGATACTTTGCAAGAATTAAATTGCTCTCTTATGGAACACATTTTTTTTGCTTGTTTAACGAGCTTGATTTAGTTGAAATAAAATATGAAATCCGGCAATTTTCGCCGGATACGTGAAAAATTACTAACGTTGCTTTTGTGGTGTTACCTGTAAGGTGATAATGAAGTGGCCACTGCCAGTGGCCGTCTAGAAATACAAACTTGTCACTATAATTCGAGGGCCTGAAGATAAACCTAATTTTTGGAAACGATTGTACGATTGTATTCTTAAATTTTTGCGTTAATTTTGCTGTATTTTCTTTGAGATTTTAAACAAAGTTTATAAAAACTAATAAATATAATTGCTGAATACAACACTACTATTTCAACTTGCGTTCCAATCAAAGACAGAGCATTTATTAAAGTTTAATTCCGCGGAATTTTAATAAAAAATAGTATAAATACAAACAGTTATGAACAAAAAATGGAAAAGCCGACATGTTCTTGAAGGCCGTAATTCTGGGGATCTGCGTCAACTCTTGTTTAGCGGGCGTCAAAGAGGATCATGAAGTAAAATCATTGCCATGGTTGGACTGGCAGCTGAATTTTAAACATTACTCTGGCTGGCTTAATGTCTCCAAAACTAGGAGCCTCTCTTACTGGTAAGGTTTGATATATTATCTTGGCTCTTTGCAAGAAAACTATGACATCTAATTGAGCTATCATTTTATATATTGCGCTTTAGGTTTGTTGAATCGCAAAACGACAAAGCAAAGGACCCATTGCTGTTATGGTAAGCCAAATTTCCTCCGCTTCAGTCATAATTAAAACATTGCAGGCTAACCGGAGGTCCGGGTTGTTCCTCTTTCTATGGCCTCCTTCAAGAGAACGGACCCTTTGTTTTGGCCGAAGGAGATGACATTGAGCTGAAGCTACTCGAGAACCCTAATGCTTGGAACAACGTGAGTCATTGGCTGAAGGTTTGATCTATTTCCTTTAGTTTGCCAATGTGATATACCTTGAATCGCCAGCCGGAGTTGGCTTCTCACAAAATGATGACGAGACCTACGTATACAACGATAACAATGTAAGTGCCCATCGAAAGATACGATTTCCTTTTTTTAGACCGCCGTTGACAATGCTAATTTCCTGATCGCTTTTCTCGAGGAATACCCTGAATACAAAGGCCGCGATTTTTACATTTCCGGCGAGAGTTACGCTGGCTGTTACATCCCAACCTTGGCCAACCAAATCTTGAGTATCAAGGATAAATTGAGCTTGAATCTAAAGGTAGATCGGCGTCATCAAAGGCTTATTTCCGCATTACATATTTTGCAGGGAGTTGCAATTGGCAATGGAGTCACAGTTGTTGAAGAAACTTTACGTTTCGGAGCCGCCAATTTTAATTTCCATGGAGCAGGGGCCACAGTTTATGAGCTTGGGAAGTGGATGAGAGACAATTGCCCTTCGGGATTTGACAACTTTTGTAAAGGGGAAAAGGTGCCTATTGATAGGGAAAGACTCGACGAGTTCTCGCTAATCTATCAGCAGCTGTTAGCAACTCCGTCCAAACCTAATCCTTACGATATTAACCGTCCCTGCTACAGCGGTGTTGCTTGCACTGGCAATGGGATTTCAAAATACCTGAATCAAGTTGAGGTGCAGAGAGCTCTACACTTTCTTCCGCAAAGCGGAGAGGCCGTCGAATGGAACACTTGCTCGTAAGACAGTTTTACAAAGGTTGTGATTGGGATGAAACCGTATTGATTATTTGTTTAGAGGAATAAATGCGATCTACAGATGGTGCGATGATATGACCGGTGACATTACAAATGTGCTGGCAAATAATATCAAAGTGCTCTATTTCTACGGTGAAACTGGTACGGGCGTCTTTGTGTCGACGATTTGTTTATTTTCAGACACCATGTGCTCGTTCATCGCTGCTGATCTTTTTGTTCACAAGATCGGAAAAAACCCGAATACCGATACATGGTTTGTCGACGATCTTTATGCCGGAACAAAGACCACTTTCGATGGCAATCTGACCTACACAACCATTGCTGATTGTGGCCATATGGCCGCGATGTGGAAGCCGAAGCAAACAGCCAGAGCTGTTCATCATTTCATCAACGATATTAGTGATTGGAACAATTAATACCAAGTTAATTAACACAAATTTATCGCAACGTTTATTACTTCCAAATAAAATTTTGTCAAGGTCTTATCGTCGTTTCCACTCAAGCGTTTTATTACGAACTACGTTCACGAAGGGGAATATACGACAAGGGTGACTGCTGACAAATGTGTGGGCATTTCATTTTTAAAAATCAACTTTTTCAGATTACTGCAACACTAGTAAATACATATTATACAATAAATACATTATTCCCCCGCCGATAAAAATCGACCGTTCCCAAACAACTGGGCAGGTTAAAAAACGGCTCTAACTTTTACGTGCTCTTTCGGAAGTCGTGAATCTCATGTTCTAACTTCGCAAACAACCTACACTATTGCCTTGTAATACTGGAATCTAAAGAAGTCGTGAAACGAGAATCTTTTTTAGTTATAGTGATATTTCGGCCCAGTCCGCTTCGTTGTGTTCATGTTTCCAATGATGGATTTTTAATTTTTATCTCTAAAGTTCAAACCAAAGACAATGGCAATGTCCAACTTGGCATTTAGATCAAAGCGAAGTCAAGCAATTAACAGTTATCTTTAAATATCATAACCGGCAATGTTTCGGCAAGCAAATTTAAAAGGTTTTGTTTTACATGTACATGTTCATTTCAAAGTAAATATGCTGATTAAATTTTTGCTCTTGTTAACTTTTCATGTTTGCTTAGCACATGTCAAAAGTGATCATGAAGTGAAGTCATTGCCCACTCTGGATTGGCAGATCAACTTCAAACATTACGCTGGGCGATTGAACATTTCAGAGACGAGAAGACTTTCGTACTGGTTTGTTGAATCGCAAAACAATGCCAACACGGATCCTTTGATTTTATGGTACGTCATCCGAGGTTAAATTGAAGACATTTCAGGCTAAATGGTGGTCCTGGTTGCTCTTCATTGTTTGGGTTTCTTCAAGAACATGGACCGTTTATTTTGACTGACGGAATGGACGTCGAGCCAAAGTTGCATGAGAATCCCAACGCTTGGAACAAAGTAAAATGAAATATTTATCCTAAGATATTATTGACTTATTTTCAGTTCGCGAACGTCCTGTACTTGGAGGCCCCGGCTGGCGTGGGCTTCTCGCAAAACGACGAGGTTGATCAGACTATCTACAACGATTCTATTGTAAGCGGAATGCGTTAAAAGATAATGCTTTGTGATTCTAGACAGCTGCAGACAACGCGCGGTTTCTCAGCGTTTTTCTGGAGGCATATCCCGAGTACAAAGACCGAGATTTTTACATTTCCGGCGAGAGCTATGCTGGTTGTTATGTCCCAACGTTGGCCAACGAAGTTTTAAGGCAGAAAGATAAGGTCAAACTCAATTTAAAGGTAGCCGGATAGCATTGAGATCAAGTCTGTTTCAGGGCGTAGCCATCGGTAATGGAGTAACTACCGATCGTCTCGACAGTCTCGGTACAGCTATATTTGCTTTTCATGGCGCCAGAGACACGATTTATCAGCTCGGTCAATGGATGAGAGACAACTGCCCAAGCGGGTTCGACAACTTTTGCGAGGGCGGGGCTCCTTCTAACCATCGTGAAAACAAGACTTTGAGACAACAGTACAGTGAGTTAATGAGAGGACCGTATACAGGCACAATCAATCAATACGATATCGACCGTATTTGCTACAATTTTGGTCTTTGTGGAGGGAATACGCTGTATAATTACTTGAACAAAGTGGAGGTTCAAGAAGCCTTGCATTTTGTAGCAGATGGAGGGAACAAGGTGGATTGGACAGAGTGTGCTGAGTAAGTTCTGGCAGTGAACGCCGATAAAGCGGAGAAGCGAAAGTTGATCAAACATTTCCATGCGAATGCATCTGCAATTTTAGTATAAGATATGAACAATGCACTGACATCACTCCAGATGTAAAGGAACTACTGGAAAAGCAAATCAAGATTCTTTATTTCTATGGTGAAACAGGTATGACCAATGACAAATGAGTTTATTGAACCTTCCAGATTCTGTATGCCCCTTCATAATTGGCGATCTCTTTACTCACAAAATTGGGAAGAATCCGAAGACTGCGCCATGGTTTGTCGATGATCTTTATGCCGGCACAAAGACAACCTTTGATGGAAATCTGATCTACACCACCATTGCCGATTGTGGCCATATGGCTGCAGGTTGGAAGCCAAAGCAAACAGCCAGAGCTGTTCATCATTTCATCAACGATATTGATGATTGGAATAATTAAAGTAGCAACGATGTATTGTATATTTTAAACAACGTTTTTCAATTTGCCAATGAAAAGCTATTCTTCGCATTTTGCGTCATCTCTCGCAAAAAGAATTGTTGAATCGGTTGGCGCTTGAATAACCAGCTAAGACTTTTATGATGTATTATACATTGTGGAAGGAAGCAATGTATAAAACTCTTGGACTCGCAGCCTTAGCAAAATAACGCCCAGGAAATTGCTTTTCATACAGTTCACATTTAGATCAAAGAAATGATACGGCCTCATTTCCAACAGCTAACATTTTTACAAAGAGAATTACTGAAATATAAAGTCCCTCTGCCCTTCGACACTTCACTCCATTCACAATTATGTTAACATTATTTCCAATTTTTATACTCGCTCACTTTTGTTCTGCCGACATCAAAAGTGATCATGAGATAAAGTCCTTGCCCTTGCTGGATTGGCAACTAAACTTCAAGCAATATTCTGGACGGTTGAATGTTTCGGACACTCGGAGTTTGTCTTACTGGCAAGTTTGACAACAAAGAATCTGGAACATCCTATGCTACTCTCAGAAATTTAATTTTTTTAGGTTAGTAGAGTCGCAAAGCAACAAAGACAAAGATCCTTTAGTGCTATGGTATGTCTGCGTTTAGCCTACTCAGTACTTACACTTAAATTTAGGATGAACGGAGGACCTGGCTGCTCGTCTTTCTTTGGTTTGCTGATGGAGCACGGACCATTCAGGTTAACGGACGGGATGGATATTAACCTAAATTTGACTAAAAATCCAGACTCTTGGAACAATGTGAGATTACCACATATCTATATTTTACTAGTAACCTTTATATAAATATGTATTCGCAGTTTGCCAACGTTCTGTATCTTGAGACTCCGGCAGGCGTTGGGTTTTCTACGAACAGCGATGTTGAACACACAAACTACAGTGACGACACTGTAAGTTTAGACGTTGAAAATCATCAAACCCGGCTATAATGAGTTGTTTCAGACCGCCGAGGACAACTTGACGTTTCTCCGCAAGTTCCTCGAAGCCTACCCGGAATACAAAGGTCGTGATTTCTATATTACCGGAGAGAGCTATGGTGGATGCCTGGTGCCCTCATTGGCAAATCACCAGCTTCTGACAAAGGAGAAAGTCGATCTGGTATTGAAGGTAAGTGAAAATGCTCTTAAATGATGTATAAACATAACTGTATCATTAACACAACTTCCAGGGAGTCGCGATCGGCAACGGGGTCACAGATGACCGATGGGATTCGTACGTACCGCTGGCCCTAGGCTTTCACGGCGCTAAACAGACCTTGCTTCAACTGGGGCAATGGATGAGAGAATATTGCCCCAGTGGATTTGACAATCTGTGCGAAGGCGGGAAGGTCCCAGATCAACCTAGTAGCTCACTCTTTGACCGTTATTCTGCTCTGATGAATAATCCATACGATGACAGAATCAATGAGTACGATATCAATCGTCCATGTTTTAACAATTTCCTCTGTGGTGGGAATAGCATTGACAATTACTTGAATCGACGGGATGTTCAGAAAGCGATGCATTTCGCCACAGATGACGGAGACACTACTACTTGGAACATGTGTAACATGTAAGAAAACTGGGCCTGTGTTACTAATCTCAACGATTTAGGGATTTAAATAAAGCATACGACAAATGTAAGGACATAACAGACGTGGTCAGGAACTTGATGAAAAACGAGTTGAAGATACTGTACTTTTACGGTGAAACCGGTAAGTACCGTTATAACCAGTGAAACTAACACTTATAGATACGGTATGTCCTTTCGTAATTGGTGATCTGTTTACTCACAAGATTGGAAAGAATCCGAAGACAGCACCCTGGTTTGTTGATGATCTTTATGCTGGAACAAAGACAACTTTTGACGGAAATTTGACTTATACAACCATTGCTGATTGTGGGCACATGGCTGCCGGGTGGAAGCCAAAACAAACCGCCAGAGCTGTTCATCATTTCATCAACGATATTCGCGATTGGAATAATTAATTTATTGTAATACTTGTTCACTCAATCAAGCAACATTTCTTACAAGGAAAGTACTTTTATGGGGGCTCCTACTTTTTGACGGGACATATCTCAAAAAATCAGAAAAAATGTGGTGATCAAGGATATATAAATCTTAGCTGCCCATTTTAGGTTTTTAGGGGTGAAAACTCAATCGGAAGTTGACTTAAAGCCCCATATAAACCCCTTTTCGCTTAATTTTTCACAGGTTTACAATTTTTATTTTGACTTAAAATGATGTTTATTGAGTTTCTAAGACGTAATAAATCAGTCTTGGCACAAAAATTTATTTTTCCGACCTTCATCTTCAAAAAAAGTTGATTCGGCCCAAAAGGGGTATCGAACCCGTGCGGCGTTCCCCCTGTTGATTCCCAGACTACGGCACTAGCCACTCGGCCACACCGCTCTCTTCCGAAGGAAGAGACCGTCTGCGCTTTTTATCGTTTCGAATGCCTGCGCCTTTGTAGGGAAATTAAGCCAGTTTTTGGGCATTTTCACCCCTAAAAACCTAAAATGGGCAGCTAAGATTTATATATCCTTGATCACCACATTTTTTCTGATTTTTTGAGATATGTCCGGTCAAAAGGTTGTTAAATGTGTCAGTAATCAGGCTTCTTTTGCGGTCAAATAATTTTCTTTAACATAATGACACCACAACCAAGAACAAGACTTGTCCAAAAAAGCAGAATAAAAAGTAAGGTTCAAAATTCCGTAAGGTTTCAAATGGTGTAGGTCACGTCAATTCACTCTGACATCTCTAACTCATTTTATTTTATATTAGTGCCTAGTGTAATATCAGAGTTTTCGGGCTGGTACGGGCGCAGTTTGGCTCCAAAAAAGATGAATCTTGGGATTTTGAAATTTCATTCCGTAAGGTTTCAAATGGTGTAGGTCACATCAATTCACTCCGACATCTCTAATTCACTTTATTTTTTATTAGTGCCTAGTGTAATATCAGAGTGTTCGGGCTGGTACGGGCGCAGTTTGGCCCCAAAAAAGATGAAACTTGGGATTTTGAAATTTCATTCCGTAAGGTTTCAAATCGTGTAGGTCACGTCAATTCACTCCGACATCTCTAATTCACTTTATTTTTTATTAGTGCCTAGTGTAATATCAGAGTGTTCGGGCTGGTACGGGCGCAGTTTGGCTCCAAAAAAGATGAAACTTGGGATTTTGAAATTTCATTCCGTAAGGTTTCAAATGGTGTAGGTCACGTCAATTCACTCCGACATCTCTAATTCACTTTATTTTTTATTAGTGCCTAGTGTAATATCAGAGTGTTCGGGCTGGTACGGGCGCAGTTTGGCTCCAAAAAAGATGAAACTTGGGATTTTGAAATTTCATTCCGTAAGGTTTCAAATGGTGTAGGTCACGTCAATTCACTCCGACATCTCTAATTCACTTTATTTTTTATTAGTGCCTAGTGTAATATCAGAGTGTTCGGGCTGGTACGGGCGCAGTTTGGCTCCAAAAAAGATGAAACTTGGGATTTTGAAATTTCATTCCGTAAGGTTTCAAATGGTGTAGGTCACGTCAATTCACTCCGACATCTCTAATTCACTTTATTTTTTATTAGTGCCTAGTGTAATATCAGAGTGTTCGGGCTGGTACGGGCGCAGTTTGGCCCCAAAAAAGATGAAACTTGGGATTTTGAAATTTCATTCCGTAAGGTTTCAAATGGTGTAGGTCACGTCAATTCACTCCGACATCTCTAATTCACTTTATTTTTTATTAGTGCCTAGTGTAATATCAGAGTGTTCGGGCTGGTACGGGCGCAGTTTGGCTCCAAAAAAGATGAAACTTGGGATTTTGAAATTTCATTCCGTAAGGTTTCAAATGGTGTAGGTCACGTCAATTCACTCTGACATCTCTAACTCATTTTATTTTATATTAGTGCCTAGTGTAATATCAGAGTGTTCGGGCTGGTACGGGCGCAGTTTGGCTCCAAACAAGATGAAACTTGGGATTTTGAAATTTCATTCCGTAAGGTTTCAAATGGTGTAGGTCACATCAATTCACTCCGACATCTCTAATTCACTTTATTTTTTATTAGTGCCTAGTGTAATATCAGAGTGTTCGGGCTGGTACGGGCGCAGTTTGGCTCCAAAAAAGATGAATCTTGGGATTTTGAAATTTCATTCCGTAAGGTTTCAAATGGTGTAGGTCACGTCAATTCACTCCGACATCTCTAATTCACTTTATTTTTTATTAGTGCCTAGTGTAATATCAGAGTGTTCGGGCTGGTACGGGCGCAGTTTGGCCCCAAAAAAGATGAAACTTGGGATTTTGAAATTTCATTCCGTAAGGTTTCAAATCGTGTAGGTCACGTCAATTCACTCCGACATCTCTAATTCACTTTATTTTTTATTAGTGCCTAGTGTAATATCAGAGTGTTCGGGCTGGTACGGGCGCAGTTTGGCTCCAAAAAAGATGAAACTTGGGATTTTGAAATTTCATTCCGTAAGGTTTCAAATGGTGTAGGTCACGTCAATTCACTCCGACATCTCTAATTCACTTTATTTTTTATTAGTGCCTAGTGTAATATCAGAGTGTTCGGGCTGGTACGGGCGCAGTTTGGCTCCAAACAAGATGAAACTTGGGATTTTGAAATTTCATTCCGTAAGGTTTCAAATGGTGTAGGTCACATCAATTCACTCCGACATCTCTAATTCACTTTATTTTTTATTAGTGCCTAGTGTAATATCAGAGTGTTCGGGCTGGTACGGGCGCAGTTTGGCTCCAAAAAAGATGAATCTTGGGATTTTGAAATTTCATTCCGTAAGGTTTCAAATGGTGTAGGTCACGTCAATTCACTCCGACATCTCTAATTCACTTTATTTTTTATTAGTGCCTAGTGTAATATCAGAGTGTTCGGGCTGGTACGGGCGCAGTTTGGCTCCAAAAAAGATGAAACTTGGGATTTTGAAATTTCATTCCGTAAGGTTTCAAATGGTGTAGGTCACGTCAATTCACTCCGACATCTCTAATTCACTTTATTTATTATTAGTGCCTAGTGTAATATCAGAGTGTTCGGGCTGGTACGGGCGCAGTTTGGCTCCAAAAAAGATGAAACTTGGGATTTTGAAATTTCATTCCGTAAGGTTTCAAATGGTGTAGGTCACGTCAATTCACTCCGACATCTCTAATTCACTTTATTTTTTATTAGTGCCTAGTGTAATATCAGAGTGTTCGGGCTGGTACGGGCGCAGTTTGGCCCCAAAAAAGATGAAGCTTGGGATTTTGAAATTTCATTCCGTAAGGTTTCAAATGGTGTAGGTCACGTCAATTCACTCCGACATCTCTAATTCACTTTATTTTTTATTAGTGCCTAGTGTAATATCAGAGTGTTCGGGCTGGTACGGGCGCAGTTTGGCTCCAAAAAAGATGAAACTTGGGATTTTGAAATTTCATCCCGTAAGGTTTCAAATGGTGTAAGTCACGTCAATTCGCTCCGACATCTCTAATTCACTTTATTTTTTATTAGTGCCTAGTGTAATATCAGAGTGTTCGGGCTGGTACGGGCGCAGTTTGGCCCCAAAAAAGATGAAACTTGGGATTTTGAAATTTCATTCCGTAAGGTTTCAAATGGTGTAAGTCACGTCAATTCACTCCGACATCTCTAATTCACTTTATTTTTTATTAGTGCCTAGTGTAATATCAGAGTGTTCGGGCTGGTACGGGCGCAGTTTGGCTCCAAAAAAGATGAAACTTGGGATTTTGAAATTTCATCCCGTAAGGTTTCAAATGGTGTAGGTCACGTCAATTCACTCCGACATCTCTAATTCACTTTATTTTTTATTAGTGCCTAGTGTAATATCAGAGTGTTCGGGCTGGTACGGGCGCAGTTTGGCTCCAAAAAAGATGAAACTTAAGATTTTGAAATTTCATTACGTAAGGTTTCAAATGGTGTAGGTCACGTCAATTCGCTCCGACATCTCTAATTCACTTTATTTTTTATTAGTGCCTAGTGTAATATCAGAGTGTTCGGGCTGGTACGGGCGCAGTTTGGCTCCAAAAAAGATGAATCTTGGGATTTTGAAATTTCATTCCGTAAGGTTTCAAATGGTGTAGGTCACGTCAATTCACTCCGACATCTCTAATCCACTTTATTTTTTATTAGTGCCTAGTGTAATATCAGAGTGTTCGGGCTGGTACGGGCGCAGTTTGGCTCCAAAAAAGATGAATCTTGGGATTTTGAAATTTCATTCCGTAAGGTTTCAAATGGTGTAGGTCACGTCAATTCACTCCGACATCTCTAATTCACTTTATTTTTTATTAGTGCCTAGTGTAATATCAGAGTGTTCGGGCTGGTACGGGCGCAGTTTGGCCCCAAAAAAGATGAAACTTGGGATTTTGAAATTTCATTCCGTAAGGTTTCAAATGGTGTAGGTCACGTCAATTCACTACGACATCTCTAATTCACTTTATTTTTTATTAGTGCCTAGTGTAATATCAGAGTGTTCGGGCTGGTACGGGCGCAGTTTGGCTCCAAAAAAGATGAAACTTGGGATTTTGAAATTTCATTCCGTAAGGTTTCAAATGGTGTAGGTCACGTCAATTCACTCCGACATCTCTAATTCACTTTATTTTTTATTAGTGCCTAGTGTAATATCAGAGTGTTCGGGCTGGTACGGGCGCAGTTTGGCTCCAAAAAAGATGAAACTTGGGATTTTGAAATTTCATTCCGTAAGGTTTGAAATGGTGTAGGTCACGTCAATTCACTACGACATCTCTAATTCACTTTATTTTTTATTAGTGCCTAGTGTAATATCAGAGTGTTCGGGCTGGTACGGGCGCAGTTTGGCTCCAAAAAAGATGAAACTTGGGATTTTGAAATTTCATTCCGTAAGGTTTGAAATGGTGTAGGTCACGTCAATTCACTCCGACATCTCTAATTCACTTTATTTTTTATTAGTGCCTAGTGTAATATCAGAGTGTTCGGGCTGGTACGGGCGCAGTTTGGCTCCAAAAAAGATGAAACT